AAGATCATAGAGTCCAACCATTAACACAGCACTGCCAAGTCCACCACTAAACCATATCCACTAGTACCACATCTACATGGTTTTTTCAACACTTCCAGGGGTGATAATTACACCACATCTCTGGGCAGCCTATTCCAGTGCCTGACCACCCTTCCAGCGAAGAAATTTCTCCTAATATCCAATCTAAACGCCCCCTGTTGGAACTTGAGGCCATTTCCTCTTGTCCTATCACTTGTTGCCTGGGGGGGAAAGGCAACTCTCCCTGGCTACAACCTCCTTTCAGGTAGTTGTAGAGTGGGATCAGGTTCCCCTGAGCTTCCCCTTCTTCAGAGTAAACAATCCCAGCTCCCTCAGCTACTCCTTATCTGACTTGTGCTCCAGACCTTTCATCAGCTTCATTGCCTTTCTCTGGCGTGGAGGGAGGTGACTGCCCTGGTGCAACTTCTTCATAGGTGTTTGCTCCCTGTCCTTACTCTCTTACTCAACTCCCTGTTGAGTAAGATGCAGACTAGGTGGGATGCTGGTTGGAGCAGCAGGGACAGAGGGACAACTTCATCTGAGCTGTGGGCTCTGATAGACAAGCTCTGGGGCTCTGCCAACACATCTAAGGTGTTAGTGCTCCCAGATGGCTGCTCTGTCCCTCTGCCAGGAGGGACATGCTTCCTAGCTGGAGCAGGAGAAGGAGGGACATCTGCCTGAGTTTCACTCACCAGAGTTGCTGCCAGCCTCCCTGTGCAAGCCTGTGTTTGCTTTCAGGTGAGAGCATGCGCTGTAAAGCAAAGCTGCTGAGACCTTGAGTACTGTGTCCAGTTCTGGGCCCCTCAGTTCAGGAAGGATATTGAGGTGCTGGAGCAGGTCCAGAGAGGAGCAACTAGGCTGGTGAAGGGACTGGAGCACAAGTGCTATGAGGAGAGGCTGAGGGAGCTGGGGTTGTTCAGCCTGGAGAAGAGGAGGCTCAGGGGAGACCTTGTCACTCTCTACAACTCCCTGACAGGAGGTTGTAGCCAGGTGGGGGTCGATCTCTTCTCCCAGGCAGCTCTCAGTAAGACAAGAGGGCATGGTCTTAAGCTGTGCCAGGGGAGGTTTAGGTTGGATATTAGGAAGAAATTTTTACAGAGGGGGTAATCAGGCATTGGAATGGGCTGCCCAGGGAAGTGGTGGATTCACTGTCCCTGGAGGTTTTTAAGATGAGACTGGATGTGGCACTTAGTGCCATATTCTAATAACCACGGTGGTGTTGGATCAAGGGTTGGACTTGATGATATTGCAGGTCTTTTCCAACCCAGTTGATTTGAGGATTCTGTGATTCTATGTCCAGAGGGGCAATGTGGCAGCCTACAGCAGAGAGTGGCCCGGGCATGTGAGGGTGATGACACTTTGCCCATTTCCACTGCTGCCAGGACTTGCCAGAAGCTTCTTTGCATGGGGATCAAAGATGAAGAATGACTGTTTTGCAAAATTACACCCTCACCTATTGAGCACCGATTTCTTACCGCTGATTTCTGACAAATCACCAACACATTAGATTTCTTTTGGGTCATTAAGTCCTTTTATTCCTTCAGGGATGCCCCCGAACCTGATCTCCCTATGTTAGAAAACTGGCTTCTCAGAGTGTTTTTTTCCAGAGTGGCTTCCCCAGGCCCAGCACAGGTGGGTGCACATTCATTTTTAGTGTGTTTTGGGTATCATGGGACAGCAGGGACCCTGTGTTGAACATATTGCTGTGCAGTGCAAACCTGCATAAATTCACTTTGAATCCCAAGTCCTCTTCATTGACTGTGTTAGGTCTGAGTGTCACCCCCTTGAATCAGAGGAGAGAGTAAAATTTGCCTTATTCCTTCTGGAGAATAAAAACCAAACCCACAGCAGGACACAGAGCAGCACAGCTTTATTTCGATATTTTGACCAGAAATTAACTCCGTATAGAGCAGGGAGTGATGTAACACAAGCCCCGAGTATGTGCTCGCATCCTGGAATTAATTGCCTTACGCCCCCCGTTATTTATAGCCCCGGTGGCGTTCCCAGCAGCTCCGCAAGGCGCTGCTTCTGCGGCGCTACCCGAGCGCGCTGCCTTCGCCTCCTGCCAGCCCGGTGGCAGCGGCGGCAGCTGTGTTGTGTGTGCAGATCACATAGCAACTGCGCACAGCTGCCTGCCAAGGAAAACCGGCCCCGCTCCCTCCCCTCGCCGCTTTATTACATGAAGGCAGGGAACAAAGCAGCTGGCAGGGAGGGAGATGTGTGGGGAAGAGCGAGACCGGATTCCTTGGCTAGCAGTACCTAAAACCTCCTTCCAAAGGCGGCCCGGGGTTTGTTTTGGTGCAGAGGGCTTCTGCCGTCGGGGTAGGGCTGGTGGAATGTGAGCTCCAGGCTGTGCTGCTGACTGGCTGACATGAGTTGGGAGGAGAAAAATAATTCTCAGCGTTGCTGATGAAGCCACATTAAATCGCACGCGGTTTTCCTGCTCTGAGCCAGCTGCTGCCCCTTTCTTGGGGCAGGGGGCGGGGGGCTGCATAGGAGCAAGGAGGCAGCAGGGGCTGGGGAGCTGGGTGTGAACTGGCCCACGGCTGCTGCCTGGCTGAAATCCAACTTAGGGGCTCAGCCGATTAGGCATGTTGTCACCTTGACATGCTTGTTTTCCAGCACTGGAAAAGAGAGGTATCCCTGCTGGTGGCACCAGCCAGAAAGCACAAAATGTGGGCCAGGATAGGGGCAGGCTGGGACCTGTAGCCAGGCTGTAGCCTGAGCCAGGATTTGGCTCCTTCAGAGATTTGTCTGCCTTCTTTTGCATCTACTGGAAAACTTTTCTGTAAGTCTCTTCAATTACTTTTTGGCAGGATTTTTACTGTGCCTCAAACCTCGTGCAAGCAGCATATCTATGTTGGATGACACAACAACCCCTGAGGCTCTCTCCCTTGGGATGTGTAGTGATAGCTGATCAAGCAAGGGAAAAGTGCTGGATGACCCCTCACAACGGTGCAATTCCCACTGAGCAGTCATCTTTTAAAGCTGTTTTAACACATCATGCCCAGTGTCTGGGCTAAGGCTGCAGCTCTCCCTCGGGGTAGCAGAGGCATTTACCTCTCGCACAGCCGCTGCTTTCTGATCAGAAGCAGCTGAAGGACAGAGGGGACCAGAGCTGGTGGCACGAAGGCCAGGCTGTCACTCAGGTCCCTTCCCACTGTACCTTCTGCCTCCTGTGGATGCCAAAGTCTGCAGCGGGGGAATTCAAGAAGAAGCAATCCACAAGTTTCACACATTGGGAAATTCCAGTCTTACACAGTCTGTTAGAAAATACGTACGACACAGTAATCAGAATCATTTTATTAAAAAACTTGCAATAAAATTCCTTGGAATTCACCATCTTAACTTTGAGAGTTGCAATAGTTTACTAGTACATAATAACACAGTCTCACATATTTACCTTATAATCCTCTATATAACAAAAATAGCCATGTTGTACTACTGAATAATGCTTCCAAGTATTAGCCTCAACATTTCGGTACTTCCCCCAGCTGAGTCACTGTCCATGCTCTTTAGCATTTACAGTATCTAACAAAGCAAGAAGGAAACAAAAAAATAAAGTGTGTGTCTCATGATTTCAGGCAAGTCCCTTTAAGATGGTAGTTCTCTGACTCCCACATTTTTCAAGAGAGATAAAGTGCATTGGAGAGGAAGATGTACACATTATAAAATATCAGTGAAGAGTTGCAAGTATATTTGCAAGACTGTACAGAAAGTAATGCTAAGGGAAAAAAAAGGCAAAAAAATGCTTCACAAACTGCTACTGCACAGTTTTGGCAGCAAGTCACAGGTAGCAGAGGGATAGGAGTGGGAAAAAAAAGCCAACTACAAGAAAAAGAATGGCCCATGCAAACGCCACTGTGTGACTTTGCCATGGCCTTTTGGTAGGTGTTTCCCAAACCAAAGTGCAGCTGTCTGGACAAAGGAAGTTGTTTTTTTTTTTTTTTTCTTTAATGTGGAGATGAAGGGTCATTTCCACAGTCCAAAGAAACCCAGTGTGATCAGCCTGCAGAAAGCGACTGCCTCACCAGCACAACTTCAGTCAAACACCAGCTCCCATCCTAGGGAGCCGCCGCGGAGTGTGACAACATTGTATCGTGACAACCCTGTTGTCCCCCTGGCTTGCTGGGGCTGGTGGCCCTGCTAGGCAGAGAAAGGGGGATGAAGCCTCCCAGTAAATCCGCTCCTGCTGTCCAGAGCAGGACTGATTACTTTAGAGAATTTCTCTGGGACGGACCATTGTCTCCGAACTGGAAATTATTTCAGTAAGCTGTGCACTGATCCATATGGTGTTTATTTCATTTGGGATTTTTCTTCCCTTTATAACATTGGCATTTGCTGGTACAGCTCTGCTGCGTGTGAAGAGAGACACGGCTGGAAAAAGCTTTGTAGCCATCACTGAAAACCAGGATACTGCTGCTCTGTTCTTAACTGCATACAAGTGGGATGCCACATTTTTTTGGTTTGCTTATAAACTACTCTAAATAGAAATAATCCTCTTCTGGAAATGGATGGAATGTATATTTTGACAAGTACAAAACCATTTTAAATGTTCACTAAATACAAGGAACATCTTGGTATAAAAATAACAGACCCTCCCACCCACTATCCCCTCTTTACATTTCTAATTATAAAATGGTACAGTCATTTCAGGTTCATAACATGAAACAAGAAGTGAGGATGGCATTACATACACATAAAAAACATTTAGATAGTCGACATCTGAAATAACTGTATACATTCAGAGCAAACAAGCATCTTGATCTGGCTATTGTTTTTAATGCTACACAGAACCGAAGAATCAGGAAATAAACCAGAAAGGGAAAATGCTGAAAATGCTGTTTCTCCTTTTTTCCCCCCGTCCTTACTTCTTTTCCATTCCCTACAGAAAGAAATAACTTCCACCAATTCACAATTAAAATACTTGAGAGAAACAAGATTAATTTCAGATGGAAAATTAATCCGTCGGCTTTTCATTCAAAATCCACAACATATTTCATTCATCTTTCTTCTCTATTTCTCCCTTTGAAATACAGCTCCTGCTCAGAAGGGTTTTTTCCCTTGAAAAAGAAATGGAAAGATAAAGGGACCAAGCGGGTGTCCAGCCCAGCGGGGGGAGCGGCGCGGCAGAGGGGCAGCCTTTGCCCTCGCCCTCCCTCGCTGCCCCAGCCTGCAGCTGCCATCTGCTCCACAAACAAATCCCAACTAAAAAGTCCATCTGGCATTCCTCTTTCTGCGAAAGCTATCAATTAGTTCAGGTAACGGCTTGGGAAATTAAAAGAAGTGCTTGTTTTGGAGCAATTGTCCCTATTTAAAAAGTCAGTGAAAACAACACCTCCAACCTCATTTTCCCTCACCCCTAAGATATTTCGTGACAATGTGTTTTGCTGCTTGTGCTAACCAAGCTGAGTCACTGCTGTCACGCACACACACTCTCACATTTTGCATCTATAAAACAGAGGAGTCCATATGGGCTCAGTGTTCCTCAACAAAGCCGTGCTCCCGGTCAGCGCTGGCCATAAAGAAGCTTGGCTGCCCTGAACGTGCTGAAAGCCCGTGGCCTGCCTTTTTTTAAGCCCTGGAGCTGAACTTGGGCCGGCTCCTTTCCCTCCTCTGATCTGCTGCAAGAGATTCCGGCAGCACAAAACACAAAAAGAGGAAGCAGCACCGTGCCAGTTTGATCCCACGTTCTCCTTCCCCTGCAACACAGGCTCATGCTGGGGCAAACACTTGTGAGAGGGGCTGGGAAGGAACTGGCTGGACTTCTCTGCCATTTTAGTCCGGCAAAACGGATGCACCCCAACAGCAATGCCCTTCTTGCAATGACTTCCTCGGGATTTGATCCAGAGGTCATTAGTGAGATCCAAGGGACCACTTAACACATGTGATTTCAATAATTTATATTTCCAAATTGCCTCTATAGACCCTTTTCTTTAGTGCCACAATCTCCCTCAAATACAAGGTCTGAAAATGACAGCTGCTTCTGTTTTCACTACACTACAGTTTCCATACCCATATCAATGCACTTTTATATGCACACATGGCAATTTAATTCTATAGAGTGCTTAATGAACTGCAGTCCTGTGATTGTTGTGATCCTGATTTTGAGGCTCTAAAGCAGTCAGAGAATAAAACAACCCCAAACCCTCAGCAAGTGCCAGATCTGTATCCCCATCACAATCGATCAGCTGTGGGGAGGGGATGTAGACCTGGTGCCTTGCACATCTGCATGCACATGTTACGTTGTTTGTGAGTGCAAAATTCTGCCCATATAACTTTTTATGCATCCTACCTATTCAACAGACCTTTGGGAAGGCAGCTTAGTGCAACCCAAGAAAACCCAAATCTATCTGACCAAGTTTCATCCTGCAACCCAGCCCGAGGGATGATGAGCCTCACTAAGGCAAAGTCTTCTCCCCCCTACCACTCGCTCATGATAAAGAAGAGAAAAAAGCCTCAGATGACAGGACAGGAATTGCTGGGAGAGACACAGGATCAGCTTAATGACAAGAGTGCCTTTCCCTGAGAGCCACACAGTCCCCTGCCCACTGGCCCTGTGCAGGAGGTGCCCCCCCCCCGCCCCAGTCATGGTGCCAGCCCTGCAGAATTATATCTGTGAGCACTTGTTCTGTCAGAGGGCACCAGAGGATTTTGTTTTTTCCTTGCTGCCTTCTAAAGGCTGCTTTCCCTTCTGACCAGACAGTGCCGTGTCCCAGGCATCCGAATCCCACGTATTTAAAGCCCAAGCTTAGCAGGCAGCAGTACCGAGGACTCACACAATGCTCAGGATGGGACTAACCATGTCCAAAGCTGCAAATCTGGAGGTTTAATTTTACCCTGTGAGGAATCTCAGTGGAGACACTCATGTAAGCGAAAATGTGCATGGGCATGCAGATATGCAGAATTAAGGCCTTCAAACATGTTACTAACATACACCAGGGGAGGTCTTAATATTTATAAAGCACCTCGAATTCCCAAGGCAGTTCACAGTTTATAGGTACAAAGAATATTGTCAGCCAGGTCCTGCTTTAGGAGAATGTTTCCATTTGACACAGGGGCTTAATTATGCTCAAAGAAGACCTGCTGAAAATAATGTGATTTTGGTACAAGTCCAAAATTAGTCACAAGTGCTTTTTTATAGAAGGACGGAATAGAACATTTACTTAAGTGCTTTCCTAAGTTCAGGCTTCAGTGATGTGTAACCTGGCTTTGCACTCATTATCACTTAACAGTGCTCAGAGCTGCAGAACACTTGAGGACAGGGACAGAAAGACATCTTCCCTGAGTGACACTGCAGGCAGAACTTAAAAAACAAAAGCAGAAAGACTCCTGACCCAGATTTGTTGGGATGTTTCTCCTGAAAGACCACAGTATATGGCGATATGTCAAAAGACCTCACCCAGCCTGACACCCTGCCTCTGCCAGTGGCCACCCGTGGATGCTGAGAGACCAGATCTAGTACGGGATACTTAGGAAAAGAGCGTGCACAGCGTGAATCCTCTAGAAAATCCTTCATTAACTCCCAGAAATATGGGCAGGGTCTCAGTAACCATCTCTGTGATGCCTCTTTGAGCACAAGCTCCCTTTTATGATTTTGCTGCACAAAGGACACTGCTTGCTATCAGCTGGGAGGAGTTTCACCTCCTGCCTTGCTTTTCCACAGACCTCTTTTTCCTCTGCTGTGCTGTGGGTGGCTCCGCTATGGCAACAGCTAATTGGTCAATCTATCCATTGAGATTAACTTAACTCAGTTTAGAGTTAAGTTAAGACTTTGCAACAGCTCCTGTGAAACCCAAACAGTTTGGCCAGGAGCTTTTCGTCTGTGTGCTGAGCTACAGTGGGTGTATGTGAAAGGATTACTGACAACTCGGACATCGTGTTCGTGATGTTCCTGTGACATGTAGCACCCAGGCTCCAGCGCTGGAGAAGAAATTGTACCAGTGCTTGTACTTTCTATAGGGAGCCCTGACTGCGTATAAGCAGCTTCACTCCTTCCCCTGCAGTCATTTGAGATGAATTTCATTCCTGTGTCAGTATTTGGTGTAAGCACCACTTAAATCCCATTTCAGCATTATTTCCAGAGCCTTAAGCGGAGCTGATGCAGTACCTTGTGCAAACTCTCTTGTGTAGGGGTCAATATCAGCATTGATGCGTCAGGTCTTTTCCACCGAAGCAAGGAATAGAAAAGACATTAAAGAATAAAGAAAATAAGATTACACAACCACAAATATTGTCAAGACTGACCTAGCTGCACCTTCCGGAATGATCTCTAACTTTCTTTTTTAACCAAGAAGATTTCCAGCTGCCTGTATGTCTTCAACTGAGAAGAGATTTTCATTCATATGGCTTCTAAAGATGTAACAGCACATTTCTGGATCTTTTTCAAAGAATCACAGAACAGTTTGGGTTGGAAGGGACTTTAAAGATCATCTTGTTCCAACTCCCTTGCCAGACCAGGTTGCTCAAAGCTCCATTCAGTCTGGCCTTGCACTGTTCCAAGCATGGGGCATCCACAGCTTCTCTCAGCAATCTGTTCTAGTGCCTCACCACCCTCACAGTAATAATTTATTCCTAACAGCTAATCTAAACCTGGCCTATTTCAGTTTAAGCCTTTGCCTCAAGATTACCTGGCAGTAATTAAGCTATAAAATGAACTGAGTTCTAAATGGACCAAAAATGATGGAGAATAATTTTTCCTTCTTCCTGTACTAAAGAAGCAAGTCAACTAAAATTTTAGGGATAGTTCTAAACACATTTGTTCCTGAAGATCTGACAAACACAAATCTTTGCTGGAAGTTGGTTTCCCCATCTAACAAGTAAATCCACAAGGAGATTAAATGCAGCAAGAGTCCCAAGAGTTGCATTTTGAGATGCTGCCATGACACCATCAAGTCAAAATGTTTGACCTCCATGGAATTTCGATGTAAGATGAATTGTTGATTTTGTGGACTTAGTCAGGAGGCAGTAATGTGATTCAAATCATTTGACTCTCAGCAGAAACCCTGTACTCTTGTGTAACAGTAAGCCAAAAATGCTTCTCCACAGTTGAGTATTTCGACTGAAAAACCAGATCATGCACTGAACAAGTAACAATAAGCTTTTACCTGGAAAGAAGAGCTCAGGATGAACTAAATGATTATGTCAGGTTGTTATTATTTAGGTGTTTTGACTTATGTTAGTTCTTTTCATTTTCAAATTCCCTCCCCAAAGTCCCTTCCCAAAATATTTTGGTATATCTACCTATACAGAAATTGCAAGTACTCCAGTATGCTTCCAACAGTGTTGACTCTGGAGGGCAACAGACCACCTGAACTCTTGTGCTGGATAACAAGCAGACAAAACCTGCTGTCAAAACGTAGGAAGTGAAATGCACTAAGGAAAAAGACCCAAAACAAACCAGGAGTTAAACATTTCAGCCAGCTGCCTCTTGCTTCATTAGCAATTTCTGACACTGACAGCAGCATCTCCAGACCCTTTGTAAGAATATTGTCACCCGCGTAATGCAGAGCTGTTAATGAGCAGCCTCTGGAAACCCCCCAGACACTCCTTTAGCTCAGTGATTTGACTTTGGTCTGTAAAACTAAGAAAAGACATGATGTTAGACCAGATCTTTTTTTTCCAGCTACTGAATTGACTTGAAGGAAGGCCACTAATGTACTGACAGCTGCTAATAGCATAAAATATAGCACAGGACTGCACGGACGGATTGACGCTTTGAGCTTTTCTTTCTCTCCTTTAAGTTGTACGATACTTCTCTAGGACAGAGCTCTATGTAAAAGACAACATAATGCAGTTTTAACTCAAATCTCAGCAATCTCTGTTAATTCAGAGCTCTCTTACAAATAAAGACCTTCAGAATACACCATTTCCAAGCCTTCCACTTCATGAAAGCAGGCTTCACATTAATGCAGGGTGCAGGTGCACCATCCTTGTGAAGCCATGCGTACCTTCATGCAGAAACAACAAGGCAATGATAAATCCTGGTCAGATTATGAAGTGACCTGCAAATGGGAATTCAGATTTCTGGACTGAACTCTTGAAAAAGCTGGGGTCAGTCAACACGAAGAGAGTGCCTATCCATAACAAACTATAAACAAACAAACGAACAAACAGAACATATGTCTTTTCAAAAAAACCCAACAAAAACTCAATTGAACAAGTGTAGAAAACACTCAAGCTGTCATTTCAGTTGCGTATTTACGAGCCACTGAAGAGTTCCATGACTGCTCTCAAGCACGTGGGTAAACTGGAAGCGTTCATCTCCCGTGTGAACCAAACGAGGGTATGTAGATGATGAAACCGCATCCAGGCAGACACAACTGTTGCTATTGCTTTTCGTGACCATCTCAGAATGGAGTGTGCAGGAGTGACAGTGCTCTGGAGGCATGTGCATGACTGGTCCAAATCCTAGAAAGCTGACTCGGTCCCTCCCCGTGACCCTCCCCTGTAGTTTGGTGTTGGATCTCTGTTTGTTTTTCAAGATTTCACCTCTTCGCAGTCTTGATCAGTGGAAAGCTCCACATCGGACAGTCCAACCTCCATTGCCATAATCAATGAAATATCTGAATCACTGCTGACTGCTGGCTCCTGTTCATCTGTGAGGGTAGAAAAGACAGGAAAATGTCATGTCTTTCTGTTAATGTATTACAAATTTTTAGTTCTGCAGGTGGAATCCAGAAGTTTCCCCCCCACAAAGGTTGTGCTTAGAGTAGAAACTTTGCTCTTATTCGATATCTGTCTAAAACATTCCAAAAATATCACAAAGTTCAAGCCATCATAGTGAGAAATATGATGACAAGGAGCTTGTATGGGTAACACTTTCATCTCCTCTTAATCCCCCCAGGGGTTTCTGTCCAGGTCCTTCATGACCCTCCTCCCATAACCTGAGGATTTCCCTCCCCATTCCCTTTCACTTCTTTAACTTGGCATCATCTTCTCTCTCCACAAAGGCAGAAAGTTAAAGTCACAGACACCTGGTGGAGCAAGTTAGTCATCAGAAAAACATTCCTAACAGGAAAAAATCTGCCTAAACCCTCATCAGGTGACAGAAGCTCTGTCAGCAGACAATTTTAAGCAGGCGCTAGGCTAACAGCTGGAAGGAGCAACACAGGCATCGTTAGTTCTGCCGCAGGATTTTGGACCAGGCTACCTGCCTTCTCAAGTGCCCCCTCTCATCCTTTTCCAGTCTCTTTCATATTCACTCTTTCCTCTGATTTGAAGATACCTTGCAGGTTCTTGAACCAGGCCAAAGGGATGTCCCTTAATACACCATGACCCCAAACACATTGAGTCATATTATTGACTTCTGCCAAACTGCAAATCCCATCAAAATTATAAGCGTAGGAAGAGCAACTTGCTTTTGTTTTGATCCCACAGCACTTATTATGTGTATACTTAGTAGCAGATAAAGCCAACAGATTCTAAAGGACTAAAAACTAATTTTCTTTCAAGAACAATCAGTAGAAGCAAAGCACACTGGAACTCTAAGGAGATTTTCAAAGGCTCAAAACCCCCATAGGGGGCTGAATCTCTGAGAGAAAAAGTTGATGGTTCCTATTTTCAAGTGGTTTAATTACAGTTATGGTATTTATACTGTAACAATATAATGTATTTAAATCTGGTGCAGTTTTTCCTTTACATATTTTATTTTTCAGACAGTAAAAGCAGAGCCTGATTGATGCTAAAAGTCTGAAAGTTGAATATCTAAGAATTAATAGGTAAAAAACATTACAGTGAGCTAGTAATAATAACTCCTCAAAGTTTATTCACCTGAAGCTAAGTGAGCAGAATTAGTCACCTCACAAGAGCTGCATGATTTGTAAATCTGTTTCAGAGAAAAAAACCCCCACATGTGTTTAGTTGTGCTGGGATTAGACATCATGTTCTGCAGAGAAAGCTTGAATGGGGTCTGCATTATTCAAACTGAAAGAACCAGTGCTTTCCTTTACAATTCTTCCCAGTTTTCACCCTGGATTATTTTTATACTTTCTTGATTGCAGGTTAAATAATTAATGCATACAACATCTTTACATCTGTATCTTTTTTCGCCTTTCAATATGACAGTAGTAAACATTTCTACTGACTTCTGACTATGTTTCCTCTGACTGATACATCCTGCAGACTTCACTGGGCTCAACTGCACTGAACCTTTAGGTGAACTGCTGGATCCTAGAGTACAACAGTGCATCTCATACACCTCCAACACCTAAAGCATCATGTGTAGTGGTAATGGCCTCCTGAGCCAGAATAATGTGGTTCCAGATCACTGGATTATTTATCATTCTTCTATAACTAATAGGATTCTTAAAAACAATGAAAATTATGCTTTAAATGTTGATCTAAGAACAAGTTTATATTTGCAGGACAGAGTTCCTGAGGCTTAGCCATGTTAAACAGCCACTCGGAGCACTCTTGAGAGCCAAAGTGATTTCCATCTGAACTGGCTGGGCAGGAAAAAAGGCCTGGCTGAATGGTGACAGCCAGATGCACACTCAAGAGGCAGACGGAGCTGCCAACACCAAATGTCTAAATGTCAAATGAGAAGTGTTTATGGTGCTGAAATGTTATTTCAAGAATTGTTGTTTCCTCCAGGGTTGCATAGCAGAAAAAGATCTCAACTGAGTCCAAGACACTAAGGCAGAATAAAAGATTTGCAAATGTTGGATCAGGGTATAGGAGCACCCACTTTCCAAATCAGCAAACTTTAGTTTTACATTAAAAATCCTATACAATTATTCAAATTCTTGGATCTTAGTCTTTGCAAAGTGTGGGCTTTGTAGTTTGTCTTCTTTTCAACTGCAGTGCAGGTCGGCAGGAACAATGAATAAAGATCCTAAAAATGCCCATGCCTATGCTCTGGCATTGCTTTTCCAGCACTGTGAAAGAACCTAGAAACAGGAACACTCCACCTTCCATGCTTGCTAACACTGCAGCAGTTCAAAACCTTAAAGCTACAGCCAGCCACCTCAGCAGAGTGGGGAGAACAACCTGGACATCCCTATGCTTACAACTTCCATTTCGGGGAAGGCATCTGTGTCGACATTTCTTTGAAAGATGCAGACAACACAAGAAATGAATTCATCCCTCAGCATCACCTGCTGGCTCCTGTAAACAGGAGTCCTACTACTGACTGACCCCAACACGCACAAGATGAAACTCTGGGGGGCTGCAGAAGTTACAGCAGACACAGATCAGCTGTAGGGAACTGCAAGGTCTGCAAACTGCCTCACCGTGGCTCCCCCACACAACACAGGCTTCCTAGACTCTGCTGGTTTGTTTTTTGGTTTTGCCATTTTTTTTTTGGCTGGCTTCTCAATAATGTGAGCCAGCAGAGTTACTGTTATTTGTTAAAGGTAAGCAAACCTCAACTATACTGCAAGTGCCAGGAGCTTAGCCTGCATTTTGCACCTCTGGTTTTTAGATCCTATTTACAGTGACAAAGCTTATGCAATCACACAGCTTCTCCAGAAGATGCCTGACTTGCCATTAACTAACCTTTTTGCAAGTTTTTTTCTAATCTGCTGTTTTTCCTAAAGACCTGAAGTCAGGTGAAGATCTCAACTTTCAGTGAAGATCTCAGCTTTCACTTAAAAATAAATGAAGCTTAAGAAGCAAAAAGGAAACAAATCTCTAATTTCTAGACAGATTTTATGTTGGAATATCTGAATTTTGATTTTAGATGCTTGAGATTGGCAATCCTGTCTAACAACACAAGCTATAATACATACTTTCACCGTGTTTTACAGCACTTCATGCCACAGGCATAAAGCCTTTTGCTTAATGAAGCAAAAGGCACATCCCAAGCTGCTTTTCAGCCTGAGTGCTGGTGCCTACAGCAGGGAACTATAGACCTCACTGCCACATTCCTCCCATGTCAGTGAAATGCAATACACCACAGCATGCTGCCTGTCCAGACAGACTTTTTCCACTCACTTGTATTTCCTGACACACATTCGTTTGAGAGATGAAATAAACCAAATCCCTTCTCTAGCCAATATTACTTTAAATTTAATGATGTCAGTGCAGGCAGAATATCACCACGGATTTGGAACTTCCCTACATAACAGCAGTACAGCCCTTACTTCTTGAAAAGTTCATCAATTGATGTTTACATTTGAATATTATTATTGCGATCAAACAAGGATGACAACAGCTAGTTACTCTGGTGCTTTAAACACAGTAAGACTGCACACTAGTAATAGTTATTTACTGCTGCTGCTACTCCCAACTCTTGGAGTAACTCTGTAGCCATCGTACACTAATAAATATTCCAAAAGAAAGAGGTCAGACTATGGGTTTCTAAGAATTTGATACTGTTTGCAAGAGGCTTGTGAGGGAGCTAAGCACTCAACAGTGAGTGAAAAAAACGTTCCTCTGCCATGCAAAGGTAAGCATACAGGCATGGGCACCAGTTAAGATATTTTCTAACCTAGCTGATTCTGTGATTCTGTAACTACGCAACAAAAGCTTCTCAGCATTGAAGATATGTAAGGATTGTCTAAGATGGCACTTTTTTCCTTCTCTGGACCTTTGCTATTACATCCATTTGGGCATAAGAAGATGAGAACTGCCACCAAGTGTGTAATTCATCTACTGAAAGTGTAACTAAAGCCAGCAAACTCCTATTCTTGTGGATTAAAGACACGGGTCACAGCAATAACCTATTCAGCTCGGAGTCAGTCTCCCTTGCCTCATTTATTATCAGCCCTCCATGAACTAATCCAGCATCCTCAGTCCTGCTCCGCACGCAACTGAACTTTGCAGAGAGCAGTGCAGTTAGTTGCTCGTGGTTTTCTTAATCTTATGACAGTGACAGGAATCAGGGGGTAAGAAAAAGCTGCTACCATGCTGCTGACTGAGGTGTGACCTATTTGTGTTGCTGAAAAGTTGAGCTTTTAGCATAAGAAACGGGTCCTGCTTTGCTCGGGTCTTCTGGTCTTGATGGTGGATGTAGATGCCCAGCTTAGAGGTGAAATGACTAACTATTGATTTTTTTTCATATAATGAAATACTGTGCAAAATTTATCTGTTGTTATTTCATCATTAACTAGTAGAAAAGTGGGACTCTGTCTAAAACCTTGTTTTGACAATAAATATACAGCAAAATTTGGACTTGATTTCACTGCTCATTTCACACACTCACTACTGTGAAATATACCTTATTTCAGAACTCTTCAGTTTCTGGAGATAGAATTAAACCAAAACATCAAATCCCTGGTGACAGTTATGCTCTCAGATCTAGACAAATATCTAAAATGCCTGTGTTAGCATGAACCCAGTCTGGGGCTCATTTCTATTAAAAAAACATTCAGATGTGTCTAGAAGGATTTTGCTTCAGAAGAAACCAGAAATGTGACCCATCTTCTAGAGCTTCGACGACCTGATAGAAAATATATCCAAAGTCATTAAAGGCCCTTTATCAAAACACATTCTGCTCAGCTTGAAGCTGCAGTGAACTGCCAGTGCAAGCAGTGCTATTCTGATTTCCAGTAACAGAACAACCAGAACACAATTCATCACATTTGATTTATGAGAGGGAGAGATACATATCTAGATTCCTTTATTGCTCTTTGTCTGCCCAAGAATGCACTTTACCATTACAGAGCTTACTGCTTCCTCCTACTGCAGCCTTGCCACAGCATCACTTTGCTGCTTATAGTCTAAGAGGAAGAAAGAGCATGATCTTATGAAGTTAGTACTTCAAATGGCAACTCCTTCCACAACAGTACCAATTAAATTTATTTTATCACCAAGACCTTCTCTTTTAAAAACAGTACTGATTCTTAAAATTACTCTCAAATCAATCATCCCATACTTCCCATTGCGTCATTTTATAAGTAAATCTCAAATTCCTTCCATATCATCTTGAGACTTGTAACACTTCAGAATGGGCTATAACTGCACTAACAAAACATAAAATAAAATACATGGAAAAAAATGCCTATAAAATTTCTAATGCAAAAGAAGCAGAGGAAATATGCTTGAGGAGAAAGGGTTATAAAAACCCCTGTTACTAATGCAGTCCTTTTGTACAGATGCTAATAAAACAGATGAAGAAGTTTGGCTGGCTACAATTGAGAACAAAATACCGGGGAAACACTTTATTGCTGTTCCCTAGCATCAGAGAGATTTATCGGAGCAGCAAAGGGAAAAAGTACTTGAGCGTGGTAACTGCTTTTGGAAGAAAAGGTTACAGTCTTTTCCATAAATAACAAGTCAGAGCTCTGTGAATGTACTAATGGCAACAAGGCTTCTTCCAGGGGGTAAAGCAGATGACGTCTGAAACACAGTGCAAAGAATACCCAAGCATCAGCACAAAGGGAAGAACCACATGCCACGGCCGGGCAAGATTAATTCAAGATGACACTTCAAAAATGTGTTTACCTGCACCAAATCCCTAAGTGGTAGAGAGATGTGATAGATGGGCCTGGACATGACATAAAACACTAGAGAGGCTCCCCCAAAGCAAACTTGCTCTTTTTTATTGTTACTGAGTAAAGGGGCAACAAACTTTCCTCCCTTAATCTTTCTCTAGGATATATGGTTTGGGAGAACATACAGCATCTCTTAGTGGAAAACAGCCTAAGACATAGTTTTTTGTCTTCAAACACCCTGCAGTGTGAAGGGCTAACATCATCATCATCATCATCATCATCATCATTATTCTAGACATGAGCTACTGATATGGGAGAGCCACAACTCTTCCCAAGACATTCACTGATTCTGGTTGCCCAGTTAAGACACTGTAAACATGATTTTTCAGTTGCAGCATTAACGTGGGCATTGTATGTCCCAAGGATATCTTTGAACTTCAGCTACAGTTCTATGTACTCACTTCTGGAAATCACACCCCTGTATCTCAAGTCAAGCACCAAAATGGAGAAGTTATTGATTAGTAATACAACTAGTTTTCTAAAGCCTAAATTTGGAACATGTACTTAAAACAATAAACTTTGACACCAGTTACCTGAGGAGACATTCTGTGTTCTGGCAACACCAATAAACTCATTTTCATAAACAGGCATAGAAAGTACCAGCACCCAAATGCTTTCTCCAAAAGAAAGAGGAAAAAAAAATCTGTCCAAATAAGGACACATGATATATTACACAGGGAGCACATAACAAGCACATTTGGAGAAAGCTGAGCAAAAAGGGAAGAACACATACCAGATGTTATTGCATGGAAGCACTTGGACCCAACTGGCTGCAAAAGTAGAGGGTTTCTTTTTTGTTTTATATATCCTTCACAACAGGGCTTCCAGACTCTTAAACCTTTGCCAAGCTGCTTTTCCTTTCTCTCTCCAAGCCTTCCCACTGTCCGGAAGGAGAAAGGGACAGTGGAATGCTGCTGCAGACCCTCCTTTACCGTTCACCACTGGCCATCTTCAGTGCTCAGAAAACTGCACCAGATGCACCTCTGGTCAGGGCAGCATGTTTTCCTGATTCCACAGAAAGCTTTGGAAATAAATGTGAATGTATTTTGTTCAATGTACAGACTGTTAGAAATTATTATTATTTAGAATGTGCAAAATTATTTATATATTTGATTGAAAATCAGAAAATGACATCTCCCATAAAAAGGGAAAAGATTAAAAAATACTGAAGAACAGGGCTGTTCTGATACTTCATGACAGTTTTGATACTCAAGTAACTTAGCTACCTTTAGGAATATGTTAAATGGCCAAAGATCTTTAAATCTGAAAGAATTTGTCTGTTTTTAGTAAGATCATGTCATTTCCTATACCACTCTAAGGACCCTAAGAAACGTTAAGTCTTCCATTTCATGTTAAACAAAAAGTCTAATTCAACTCTTCACCAAATTCACTCATAAAAAAGTCTCTTAGGCCCAGACTGAACTAATATCATGATGATTGTGCAGTCCCAAGCACTGCTACAAACACTTCATGTGCAGGTATTATTCGCTTCTATTACCATTTAAATCCTCTGTATGCAGACCTGGTTTCTGACCTAGCTGAAGCATAGTTCCATGGACCAGCAGCACAACAGAGCCAAGTAGTGGAAGTCCAACTCCCCTTCCCCAGCTCACCCTCCTGCCACTGATCCTGAGTCAGCTCTGCTAGTCAGTCCTTTGATTGGCCAGAGAGTTGATTTAAAAAAAAAAAAAAAGCCTGCAAACTCCCTTGGAATCATTTTTTGCTAGGCACAGCTCAGTCACAAGGCAAGCCAACTGCAGGAAGGAAGGAAACAGAAAGAGAAAGGAAGGGAAGGTACCTCCTCTTGCATTCAACACCTGCAAGCTGTCCCCGCAGTAACCATGATGTTATACATCTAAAACTTCAGGTGTGGCACAGGGACTGCTTTTTTTACTTGGTTTTCTTAGCAGCTGCTAAATGACCAAGGCTCCCTGGTGTTACTGCAAAAATACGAGCATTAAGTGATAAAGTTACAAAAAAAATCATGCTTTGTCATGTTAATGGTGTGTGAGGGATCCTGCAAAGATTATCCCAGTAGCATGTGGAGACACAAACACCCCTTGAGCAGTGAGCAAATGGCTTCAGCCAAGCTGCCAGCCATTTAAAACTCTGAAGGGACAGCAGGTGTGTGACAAAAGCAGAGTTAAATGCTGTATGTACCAGCATGTGTTATACACTATGTGTGGCCTATTGGCAGCTTGTCATGATAAAGAGACTTTTACATCCAGGGGGTATAATCACGCAATTTAATCCTGTGCATCTCAGTTTCCATGGGCTATTCTGGTGACTGCTATTGTGACTGAACTTTCTTATTTATATTTCAAAAACCTGTGTCAGCTCTGCTTCCTGCAAGCCTGGAAGAAGGAAATTACAGCCTGACTCAGACACATAATGGATTGAAAGAACAAGAGTGTAATGGTAAGAGAAATTTCAGCTCTTGTCTTGTTCCTAAAAAACATCAGGAAGAAACATCCTTTGATGGGGTGATTTAGAGATGAACCAACACCACACAAATCCCTCAGAGTAGTCATGCTGAAGAGGTATCACAATACTCCCAAGCAATATTAAACCAAAAGACTCCATGTAAGGTACTGGTTTCCAAAACCTTTTTCTCTGGTCACGCTGCAGAGCTGGGACCTCTCCTTGGGGGACTCCATGGCAGAAGCAGCTGCAAAAAGCCATCTCAGATTGCTCCTCCTCATGACTGCAGGTCCATGCTGACCCCACCTGCTCCCAGCTGGGAGGAACAAGGAAAGGGATGCTCATCACAGAGGCACCTTCCCTCCTGCTGCGGCAACTCAAGAGCCTGTCCCAGAGCACCTGCTCAGTGGTGGCCAAGGGTCAGCAGGGTGTGCTGGCACACAGCATGGCCTGGGGCAAAATGGTAACCCATCCCTGTGATCCTTCTTTAACATCTTCGGCACTGCTGGATCCTGCAAAGGTAACCGGAACTGTGGTTCTCCTGTGGAATGGGAACGCTGCCTTTGGCACTCAGGGAAATGCAAGAAGGGGTGACTGGTGCTTGGAAAAGCAACCTACCAAAGGCACAGAATGAGACTAGGACATGGAAGTGGACCTGCAGCTTTTCTTCAGGGATGTTAGAAACTTCTCACTCCTACTTTAGGAAGTAGGAGTGATACTCCTACTCCTATTCCATGTACAAGGTGGCTACTAACCAGTGCAAATCTGCACGGGGGCAATTAATTCTGAGTGACAATCAGAAACAAACATATTTCTGCCTAATCACTATGAACTGCTTCCTCAATTGCAAGTATGCACACAGCTGTAACAGAAAACAACAGCTTGCTTCAAAGACAACTCCTGTTAATTTTTAAATGAGGGGGTTGGAAAAGCTCACGTTAGTCTGCCTGAGTTTGTCATGGCAGCATGTGCACGATTTTCAAATCTGTCTCTTTAAATACCTTTAATTGCATAAGGTCTCAAAAATCCCAGGTCACTAGCAAAGCACAGTACTGAGGAATCATATCCTGAACTCTCAAGAGTAGTTACAACACATATCTTTGAGCAAAGACGTCACAGAAACACCTCTGCATATATTGGAGGATTTAATGAGAAAATGAGCCACCACCACAAGGAGGTGGCTGAAAAGCTCAACAGTGGTGGAATTACTTGAATGAAGTGTGTATGTATATTCTCTCCCTCTCTCTCACACATGGTCTTGCCTTCTTTTCCAATGCTGCTAACACTGGTCTCCACCTGAGATCTCCAGAGCACTTCCAGGATAAAGGGGCAAGTCATTAGGATGTATTGTTGTTAGGATCTTCTTCCTCACCATGCATGTTGGGGACAGTGATCCTTGGCTGAAATTGAATTCCATTAGAAATGTCCATGATAAAAATTTCACCCAGGGATGTCTTCTCTTT